AACTCTTGAACGAACTGTGGAGAGATATCGTGAAGACCTTACCAAGGAAGCTGACTTTCGAAAAGATATGGAGGAAAAGTGGAATGAAAAGAAGGAAGAACATAAGGTTCAGGTAATGTACTGTACTTTCTTATTTTTCTTTTTGGAATTTTCCCATTGTCATAGATTACCTATTCTTGTGTGTCCCATAAGGAGACCTAAGCATGAATGGGAGGGTAATATTACAGTTTTGCCAAGGGAAATGTATTGCAAGGATGTAAAATGGATACATGATTCAAGATAGGAATCAATGGCAAACTTTTATGGTGGAATTAAATTTGAACTATGAAGTGATGATCAGCTACTTATGGGGGATGTTGGGGATTTATTGTAATGTAATTGTTGGGTTTATCTATTAATTTGGTCTACACATATTATGATTTATTATTTCCCATTTTTACTGGCAGTTGTTAATTTTGACTTATGCCATGAGATTGCTTGTTTAACACCATGTAGATAGTTGTTGTTGGTAGGAAGTGTGAATTTATCTTATAACAGTGTGAGGTAATGTATGGAAAGACTGTTGTAAGTATGAAGTTGATATGAGGATGATTAGTTAGCATCATGCCCCAGCCACACTTTACTCCCAGGAGAAGGACCCCTGGTACCTTTTGTATGTATAGGAGACTTGATTGGGCCCAGAGCTGTTCTGGGTTCAGAGGATAGAACAGAAATCCTTTGCCTCTGCCAAGGATTGAACCCCTAGTTGTCCAGTCCACAGTCAGACATTATACTGACTCAGCTACTCGGTTCAGAACCAGTGACATAACATGTTGTAAAACTTACTGTACAAATAGATTTTCTCTGTAGACAAATTACTGTTTAAAAAGTGTATAGACTACATGAGATTAAACATAGCCTATATGTATGAAAAATTGAGGTCATCCTGTTATTTCAGTCATCCTTTACTATTCTTTTGTCTTTATTATTACTTGTTAAGAGCCATTTTTGTATTACACATGCCTTTTCCATTTTCCTCTTTAAACATGAAGGAGTAAATATGTCTTTGAATATAAATGTATTGTTATAATTGTAAAAAATATTTCTTAGGATAGTTTAACTGTTTCTTGCATTCTAAATCAGTTCTCCAAGTTGTAGTGCCACAGCAATCTAAGGTAATACATCTATCATTTGTTACTCTCCTGCTGCACCCTTTTAGACATGCCTCTTGTTTTGTTTCTGTTGCAATAAAGTTCTTTTTATACTAGGGTAAAGAATTATTGATAGCACCTGAAATGAGAGTTTTACATGTTCTATAGGTTGCAGAATTGAAAAAGAAGATGGAAACTGCAGAGGAAACGTTACAAGAACTTAGACACACATACACACAAGTTTACAGCGAAGTGATGGATCAGCTGACAAGTCTTACACAGCAACGTGAACAAGTGCAGGAGCAGCTTAGCAAGTGAGTCTCATGTGGGAGAAGCCTTTCTCCTGTTTGGTAGTCTTATCTAAACTGTTCATATCAAGCATGTTGATGTAGAAGTAACAATCTAAGACACATTCAGGAAGAACTCAGTAGCTATCCTGACCAAGGATTTGTATCTTTTCCTCAATCTCTGTTCGAATTCTGGGACAGTACCTTCAAATAGGCTTTTTTGCCTCCTTCCAGTTCTCTTCTTATGCATAATTGACATTTGGCATCATTGGCATTTAAAAATATAGCTGAATAAAATTATATTAAGATAATGTGTTAATGGAAAATGTAGTATAAGTAATGTATACACACAAGGCTGTCCAAATTTCAGATTGTTCATGCCATGCCATGTAATGGAGAAGATGGCAATTAAATGATAAAATATTAAAATGTGACACACAATTGATGGCATTTGTTATAATCGTGAATATACCCGCATTTTTCATAATGTTTGGCAGTAACTGTGTTATTCTCATTAATATTTACAGTACCTAGAGCAGTATAAAGTGAAGTTTTACTGTATTACAAACTTCATTACTTTCAGACTTCAGAAGGAGAATGACAATTTATTAGGGAAACACAGTGCCCATTCTCAGCAACTGCAGAATGAAATGATAAATTGGCCTGACAAAGTGGAGGTAAGCTTTTCATGTTCTTGTGATACTCTTTAATGAAAGTATGCAATGAGTTACTTATAACAGCACTGACAATTATGATGAAATTATAGGATTGAGGTGAGACTCCCTTTATAACTGCCACCTCCAATGAGCATGTTAAACCAGCTGGTGATGATGAGCAATAATGAGTGCAGAACACTGGTGACTCAGAGAAAAATCTTCCCCTCACTCTTCATCACAAATCACACATGATCTGCCCTGAAATTGAATCTGCACCTGCTTTTGTTCAATTTCTTTTGTGCAGGATCTTCAGGAATTGTTACTGAAGTTTCATGAAGAACTGATTGCTGCCAAAGTAGCAAAGGAGACTATGGAGGAGCAAGAACAAACTTTGCACTGTGAAATACAATTGATTCGTGACCAGATGAGTGGAGAACATGAAGAACGAGTGAGCATGGAAGATAATCTCACTCAGGAACTGAACAGCCTGAAGTAAGTTTCACAATGTAGGCTGTATAAAAACTGTAGACAAAATTATCTTTTGAAAACTTTATGGAGATCACCTGGAAACCCAATTTGCAGATAAAAATGTAACACTATAGTGGGTTCAAGGACTATAGGTTGTGGGAATGTGAACTGGATAGAAATCTGTCAGGATGGAATGTAATTACTTACTCTCCTGGCTTTAGATTATATAAGAAGACATCTGTTGAATATTTAAATAATTTTCAGTTTGTGGATTTATGTAATTAATACAGGAGGTAGAGATTAAATTTGTCAGTTTAGTTAAGTTAGTAAAGCAGTTACTTCTATACCTAAACACAGTACTGTGAAGGTGAAGATTTTGAGCATTCTTGCTCTTGGAGGAAGGGGTGAAGATTCAGCATCATACTGTCTGCTTTCATCCTGTAGAAAAAGTTCTGAAAATTCGTTCAGTAACATGCTGTGTCCTGGTGGATTTTTTCATGAATGTAAAGAAATTACTCCTTTCTAAACATGTGACATATATGGTGGTAACTTTGTGCTGTGGCACTTTTGATTGGTCCAGTTGTCATTGTCAAATTTTTATGGTTGTGTATAAATGCATCTGTTAGTAGTAGGAGTGTTGTTATAACCTACAATATCTAATACTTTGAAACCATAAAATGCACCTTGCCATTGGTGAATGCTTTTAGTCATAATATAAATTTAAAAAATTTGTGACTGCATAGTGCCTTATTTCTTAGGTTCATTACTCATCATACTTCTTGCGTATCAAGATTCATAATATATTATCTTTCCACAGGATACACCTTCATAAATGTGAAAGGGAGCGTGATAAATACAAGGTCACATATGAAGGACTTGAGAAATTAGTAAAAAGTAGTCAGCAAACAGCAACAGAATTTGAAACTCAGCTTACGGATGTTCTCAAAGTAAAGGTGTGTGTGGTAAACTGAGTAATAAATATGTTGAATTAAAGATGGTAATACTAATAGATTAAAAATTGTATTAATTTATATTTTATATATTTAATTATTTTCTTTCCTCAGCTTGCTGCTCTATAATAAATTTCAGAATTCAACAAATTTATGATGCAGCTAACCTGAGGAGGAAGAATGGGCCCAACCATTATTTATATTCATTCAGAAGGAATGAGTAAAATCCTAACAGATATCTTTGAAACTAATAGCTGCACATAATAATGCAAAGAAGAATGTTCGTAGATATAGGGAATTTTTTGTTGTGATTTTCAATAATATGCGTTGAATGAATGGTGAGGCCTATGGTAAGCTCTTAGGCAAGAATGATCAATAAGAAAATTAAACATTTGTCAGATTTCTCTGCAGTAACAGTGTGAGCATTCTGTTAGTTGTATGTAAATTGTATCTTATGACAGTGGTCAAACACATCCTCAGGCATGGGTCTGAAAGCTGTAACCAAAATAGCTGAAAATGTATAATTTTTATAAATTAAGGTATAGTAGGTGATATATTCATTTAGAAAATATGAGAACAGTCAGAAACATTGGAAATGTAATTACGGAGAGCTATGATTAAGGATGTAAAGGTTTGTATTGGGCTATACTATAGTCGGCACAGTAATTTTTGGCCGGTGGAAATTTCCAGGGGGAAGACTAGGAGCGAGTCATTTGTGTGATAGTATAATGCTGACTGCACCGAGGAGCTTATCGGACTGAACACCCAAACAAAAATACACTGACTGTGCCACCTCAGTTACACAGAGTAGGCCCGTCCGCCAGCTCCACTAGCTTCTCCACCGCCCGAAAACTACTGCGCCGACTATACTATAAATATTAGCAATAGTAAACCTCATGTCCAACCCCCTGAACATGAGGTCTACCTCTTGTCAGCTGTTTGCAACTGCATATTCAGTATATTTGCAGTGACATATCATCCACAATCCAAAGGCAAACTAATCTGTGGTTGCTTATTGTTCGATAATGAGAAACACAATTTTTCTCTACTGACTATGATAGTAGTCAAATTGTGGAGGTTATGATGGCCTGGATATTGGGCAATGAAAGATGCCTGCAGAACTGTGGGGAAAGTTCTTGTAAAGCAGCAATTTTTGAAGACCAATAAGGAGGTGATATAATAATATTATAATGGTTCTTAGGCATGTGGATTGTATGGGTATGAACTAGGTAAGGATCATATCTGGAATCAGAAATTTGGTATTAATAGCATGAAACTTCAGGTTCTAACCAGAAAGTTATTTATTAATTTTTGTAGTATGTCAGCTTCCTTCCAACCCTTCTAAGTCCACTAAGATTATTTCTTCTGGCATCTCATTTGCATGTGATACTGTATAGCCCTGGCAGCTTAAATAGTGTCATTATGTAACTGATTTCTTGGAATTACAAAGAAGCCTAATCCAACATTGAATGCCTGTAATATTTATATTTTTGATTTCAGAAACAACTGGAAGAACAAGTAGCTGAGTTGAAGAGCCGTGTAGGTTCATTGCAGCAGGAGTTAGATAACAGTGAGGCAGTGCAGAAGGACTTTGTACGGCTTTCTCAGTCTCTTCAAGTTCAATTAGAAAGGATCCGTGAAGCAGACACTCAAGTCAGGTGGCAGCATGATGAGGACATAGAAGAGTGTCAAGGCTGTAGAACTGGATTTTTCTTTCCACGTAGTAAGGTATGCACATGGATATTACGTATCCAGTGTACACTTTCTAAAATGTGTTTTGAACAGACTAATTATCATGCAGAAGTTATGGTTATATATATCAGCTTGAACAGGAACTCAGAGTTTTATTTTCTTAGTTGGCAAATTATTTACTTTAAGAAGATTATAAAAGTAATTCACTTACACTGTCTGCTGTGTAGTTATGTTTAAGATCATGCAGTGTTCCACCCCTTATCGAGTGTGATAACCTGAAACATGGATCAGTGAAGCCACTGCATTATTTGAATAAGAAACCTTGCAAAAGGTTTCCTATTTCAATTGGATGTTGTCCAAATTACCATCAGAACTCATATTGAATATCTGTGATTAAGACATTTGAGTTATTGTAGTTATACAAATTAATTTTTTATCATAGATTGTCCTCATTTGAACAAATTTAACATTGATTAACCTGGTAAGTTAGCTTCATATTACTGTATCTGATCTGACATGCACTCAGGAGAACCTACCGTCTATCTTGACATGGTTCCTGTGGTCATCAAATTTTTCTGGTGAATAGTACTAAAAATCTAATTTGTCTTCTTCCTCCCTCATCCCTCCTAACTTATTATTCTTATAATTCTACAATTTGTTATGTTAATTACTCCTTACAAATTAGGTAGCCATGCACAAATCACTGCTAATATTTGCTTTAGTGCAATATATCTGATGTGCATTCTGGAGATATCAGGTTTCAAATTACTTTTCCAGACATCTGTTGTAATGTTTTTCATACTTGTCTTTAATGGAAAGAGAATGAATGCCTGTTCATATTTCTGTTGCAGCAACATTGCCGTCATTGTGGACGTATCTTTTGCATCAACTGTCTGTCCCATACAGTACACAGTGGACCTAACCAACGTCCCTCTAAAGTTTGTGATGTCTGTCACACATTACTTGTGCGAGACACTGCCCCATATTTCAGCACTGAACCACCACATACACCAGATTAATTTCTTTATGTGAAGATTCTTCTCTTAAGAAGGTTGTCTATTTCTAGTTTTGTATCATATATATACATATTCAGTATACTAAAATACCTTTAGTTTTTTAAAGTTTTTTTTCTTTTCAGTTTATTGATGACAGCTTGTTGAATAGTTCATATTTCCACATGACACTGAAGTCTGGACAGCATCTTTAAAGGGGTGCTTTCTAACAGGTGTAATTCTCTTAAAATATGAATAATGTACCTTTGATGAATATAAATACACTCTGACCACATAGAATTTTGGCTTGTAACATCTGTTTATTTTGGAAGAAACTTCTTGCATTCATAGTAGATGTGAGGATAGCTGGGAGAAAAACAGGCCTGCAGAGAAGAAACCACCCAGTGATGTGCTTAGAATCATGATGAAGTTCGTACAGGTTGTACTAGGTCACTATATTACTGATTTATGAGAAGCATATTGTAAAGATGGAATGCTTCATGCAAATTTGTGTTAAATAGGTTCAAATTGTTCTTATACAAGAATACATGATGTAATTTTTTAAATGAAATGGTAATACAGAACTACTTTTGAATTTTGGAGCTATTCCCATTTTGCCACAAACACTAAAGTTGTAAAGTTGTGGCCATGATCCTGAACTGAGTAGGAAGTTGTGATTTTGTTCAGAGCAGAACAGAGGTGGGTATCATAATGTACAGAGAAGCGGTTGTTTCAAGAACCATCTAGTAACGAGAGATTTTTGTCACCTAAGAATGCTTTCTTTTGCTTCTTCAGCACATATATCACTGGTTCACATTTATATAATCCGTCCGGCACCACATTTATTTTTCACAAATTATGCTTCCTATTACAGCTAAAGACTACCATTGTTGGCTTTGTATGTATGTTAGTGGCAAATGCTTTGATCTGGCTAGTAGTGTACTGCCAGATGAATAAAACTGGTTGAATATGAAAGTACTGTTTTACTATTTAAAACAGTATTGGCATAATAAGAACTATAAAATACTTTAGCACTTTGGTATGATTGTTGGGGTTGTTTAATATTGCATTTCTGCATGACCTGACTTCTAGCCAGTATTTGCCATTGGTGTATGTATTCTTGACTGAATGTCAGACGTTTCTTCCAAGAAATGTTGTGTAACAGTGCAGAATAATTCAATTAATTGGTGTTACGATGAAAATTTAAAACTCATAAAAAAGTTTGTCTATAAACTGGCTTTATATATTGTTATAGTCCGATATAAACTTTAAAATACAGTGAAACCTCTATCCATCGTTCCCGGAACTATCGTTTTCCCGGATGCATCGTCCGTTTTGTTCGGTCCCGAATACATCCCATATAAAATAATGTTACATTTTCCCGCTTCTATCGTTCCTCGAACTATCGTTTTATCGCATCGATCGTTCAAAAATCTTAGTCCCGGCCAACAATTTTCCCGCAATGATCGTTTCTGAGAAATTGTAACGAAATTTACGTGATATTTTTAGAATTTAATTCCGAAAGACGCACAATGTTTTTGGAATACGCAGTAGCGGTAACCTGTTATGTCGCCCAACCAGCACAGATTCTTTTGGAATGAGGGGTGATAGTTGGAGTGAATGGCGGTGCTCATTGTCAGAAATTTTACGATTTTAATTAGGGTGCACTCATATTTCGTTCCAGCGATGCCAGATGGCATGTGCAGTGTGAATTTCTTCACAAATGCTTTTATTACAAGGACAAAGGAAAGGC